GGCGTGATGTTTCTCTCTCCGATTGCTTTAAATGGGACAGATCCCAGCCTGAGCCGGAGCAGGTGTGGTCTGGACGGTCCATCTGCAGGGGACAGAGAGTGGTCAGACCACCATGAGGCGGCCTGGCACTGTCCCACACAGCCCCCTGACTGCTCGAGTGCCTTCATAGACCCGCTCTGTTGTTCACGACGTCCTCACAGGGCTTGCGTGTCCATTTTTCTCTTCTGATCAGGTGTGATGTTTTTATGTAGATGGCACTAGGAATATAACCAGTAGTGTCATAATTTCAAGTAGCAGCACTAGTAATAGAAGTACTAGTGTCATTATTTCAGTAGCAGCACTAGGAAGAGAAGCAGTGTTATTTTCAGGAGAAGCACTAGAAATACAAGCAGTAGTGTCATTTATTTCAGGAGAAGCACTAGGAATATAACCAGTAGTGTCGTTATTTTCAGGAGCAGCACTAGTAATGGAAACAATGTTATTTTCAGTAGGATTACTAGTAATAGAAGCAGTAGTGTCGTCAGGTTTAGTAGCAGAATTAGTTATTTTTAACAGCAGCACAATCATAGAAGAAGAAGTGTTAATGTTTTCAGAAGCAGCACTAGGAATACAAGCAGTATTGTTGGTATTTTCAGGAGAAGCACTAGAAATACAAGCAGTAGTGTCATTTGTGTTAGTAGCAGCACTGGAACTAGAAGCAGTAGTGTTGATATCTTTAGAAGCGGCACTAGTAATAGTGATCGAGTTGTGAAGCTCTCTCCCTAATTTTGCAGGATGGCCAGAGGCTGACGGTGAGAAGAGAGAGGTATGGATGATAGAGGTGGGATTCTCTCACCTGTATTCTTCTCCTTAATTTTCCTGGATGTCCAGATGCTGATAGTGGGAAGACGGGTATGGATGGGGAGTTGTAATAGAGGTGGGATTTTTTCACCTGTATTATTTTCTAGGAAGGAGAAGTATTAGTGTTGTTATTTTTAGAGGCAGCAGTAGTAATAGTGATCGAGTTGTGACACGCTCTAATTTTCCAGGATGTCCAGAGGCTGACAGTGGGAAGACGGGTATGGATGGATTGTGATAGAGGTGAGAAGATCTCTCCAGACTTTTTCCCTCTTTTTCTAGGATTCAGAGTCTTAACAGTGGGAAGATGGGTGTGGATCAGGACGTGTGATAGAGCTGGGAAGTTCTCTTCCAACCCTCTTTTCCATTGTTTTCCAGGATGTCCAGATGTTGAGAGAGGGAAGACAGGTGTGGATGAGGAGTTTGGATTGAGGTAGGAGACCCTCCTGTCCTCTCCTTGATTTCTTTCCTTTGCTTGTCTCTGTGGAGTCTCTCTCTCTCTCAGTCCAGCTGCCTGTGGGCTGTGAAACTCCACAGTTTCACAGTGCTTACCTGGGCTTAGTTACCTGTAGGTTGCAGGTTTGATTCCTGAGGGGGGACACAGCTCACTGTGCTCAGATACTGTTCTGATATAATGGTCCTCATCGAGGCTGTACTGTAGGGAGTGTGGTGTTGACAGTGGTGTGCAGAATTCTCACAAATACTGTACCTGAACACTCACACTGACACACCTGTGTGCTGAGCTCTCACCTGGACTGTGCTTTAGTATTTGAACAAGTGCTGAACTCTCATCTCTTTTGAGCTTTTATACTCAAACCTGTGTACTGAACTCACATGTACTGCAGTGTAATACTCAAACACATCTGTGTACTGAACTCTCGACTGGACTGTTCT